ACTCCGCAACAAGGGGGAGATAAAAATGAAGAGCAACCGAAACAATCTCCTCAGCAACCACCGAAATCAAAAGATAATACAGAACCGAAGGGTAATGAAGCTTCTGGTTCTGGTAAAAATGACAAAGGTAAAGGGTTCATGGAAGAAGAAGAAGAAGAGAATGGTGACGCTGCTCTCAAAAGAAGAAATCGAGACAGAGAGCTGGATGAAAACTCTCGAATTGCTAACGAAGCTGAAGAGAGGGAGCGAAAGCAAAAGGAAGCTCGCGACCTATTGGAAAGTCGCAAAGTACTTTTTCCTTTATGGACGTTGGAGCGGATGATAAAAGAAGCTATAGATTCTCCAAGTACGCATTGGCTTGAACCAGTCGTTTAATTTGACTGTGAGAATTCTAGAGACTCCCAATTTGACATGCCCATCACCAGGAAAGCTTTTATTTTTCACTTTTTTGATCCAACAGTCGCTATTCCCTCACCAGATCCGAAAACAGACAAGGATTTGGTTGATTACTACATGGAATTTGCTCAGCCTCAGCATCTAACCTGGAGTGCTCAAAAGATTACAACTGTGAAGGTTATGAAACCGACTTCTGTTGGGAAATTCATCAACGTGAAGTTCAAAGTAACAAGAGGATCAGAGGGTTCGGTTCATCTCATTTCTATAGCTGATCTGCCAAATCTGAATCCACATTATTGGATTTTGCTGAACAACATCCTGCTTACCAATCAGGAACAATATGAGCTGATTATTGATCATATCAAGCGAATGATCATTTGTTATATTCATGAAGTCGCCTTGATGGATCAAGAAATCTCATTTGTTTTGCGAAAAAGACCAACTATCAAACCGATTAGGAAAACTTAGGATCCAAACAGAATGAAGCTGGGAGTGATTGATTCGAAGTACCGAACGGTGATGTTTACAAGGAAAGAAGGAGATAAGTTTGTGTTTGCCCTAGATGATAAACATCTGTTTTCCACGTCCTGTCTGGAACATGTCATTGATCTGGTGAACAGGTGTAAGCAGAATAGCGTTGCTGACAAGAAGTACTTCACAGACATGCTTCGGTGGTTTATCACTTTCCGACAAACTCTTTTGGCTATTATACCGAATGTGTTCAAGACGGTCAAGAAGTCTTCTGTTGCAAGACCGAACTAACCTCTCACCTCAATTGACGCAAAGGGGGAGATTGTTGGGTTCGTGTATGTTGTGTCATTGGGCTTAATTTTTATGTTTATTTTGAGTTTCGGATTGGGCCTTTCCATCCGTGGATTATTAATTAGGGTTAGGCTATTTATAGTGCATGCATGTATAGCATTAGAGGTTATCGTTCTCATTAAAAGTTGCATTGTAACCCTAAACACCTCTATAGTCGAAGTTCTTAATCAAGCTCTTCTGAGGTGTTAAAGTTTAATCATTCGACAACGTTTGAGCCATTCTCGTGTTCTTTACATTATTGTTCTTGTTTTTCTGTTTAGAATCTATCGATCATACTAGAACTTTGTTCTAACACCTCTGATTGAATCTCCGGTAGCTACTACAAGATCACAAGAAAGAGAGGTCGCCAGCCGTTTCCCGGGAGGAGGCTCCCGGAAAGACGCTCCGACGGTCAAGTTAGAAGATGTTTAGGGTTTGTGATGCATAACTGGGATAAGATTGCTTACTTCGTGGACTCTGGAGCGTTCCCTTTTGTACCTAGCGATCATGCTCTATCCGTAGAAGACAGGATCGCTTTAAGGAGAAAAGGTCAGAGGCGCTGATTGGAGGGTCGTGCATCTCTATCCGTTAGAGCGCCCTTATTGGCTCTGATGGTAATGGTTTGATCCTGGCTCTTGTCTCCTGGTCGTATCTTTTGTCTTGGCGCTGGGAGCGTCTTTTGGCGGGCGCGAGCCTCTTGTCGGGACATCGGGGGTGTCCCTGGCGGGCACAAGCCTTTCGTCGGGGCGCCCTGCTCTCAGGGGCGCCGGCGGGCGTTGAACCCGCTGAGCTTGGCTTGGCTTGCACGCCAGGTTCCTTGGCCAAGCGCGATTCTGCCGTGGTGGCTTAGGCATGTCATCAAGTCCCCCAGTATGGTAGCCGTAGCGTTGCAGCGCTAGTTACGACATTTTGGGCTAGGTCGCTCTACGCATGTCTTCTTCCCTTTTACCCGTCGCTCCGACTGTAATGGCGACGTGACCGCTCATGATGGCTAGCGGTTACGTCATCGTGTCATACGTTTTAAATGGACCGCCCTTTCCGTTCTTTTATAAGGGTCTTCACATCGATTTCTTTGAACCCACCCTTTTCTCTTCATCTTTCTCTTTCTCAAGTGTGTTTTCATCCTTCTTCTCCTATGGCGAATCTTTCCAGGATTCTTCCTTCTGCCGATCAGTATCAGCAGCTCGAGGTCACCTATGGCCTCTCCTCCTTGGAAGGCATGGAATTTCCTTCACCTGGTTCCTCTATCTCATCCCATCCCCCGGAAAAATTGGGATCTACCAAAAAACCCTAGATGCTGGTATCCGTCTTCCACTGACGTATTTCCAGGAAGAGGTTCTTCAGAAGGACGGTTGCAGCCTCCAGATGTTAACCCCAAACGCCGTCAATAAAGTGGTGGCGTTTGGGATGATCTGTCGCGCCAACGGTTACCTCCCTAATTATTTTGTGTTCAAGTACTTCTTCAGGTTTTGCCTTACCGGCGACAAGTGTACGTTCTCTGTTCGACAAGGAGGACATGCTTTGGTTCCCGACGGATGTAAGCCCAAAAATTGGCAGGATAAATGGTTATGGGTGAACCAAGGCCTAGTTGGTAGTGGATGATACCGTGCGAATACCTTTGCTGACACCATTCCAAAGCTTTTTCCCTATAACCAAAGTGTTGCTGATTATCTGAAGAACGTCTAGGTGTCTCCTGAAGACTACTCTGAAGCCTTACTGTCTGGTGTGGGGATGAGTCCTTCTTGGAGGCGTCGTGGCAAGATGGCGGTGTTCTTCTGCATCGTTGACGGTAAGTGCATTTTTTCCTTCTTTGGCTTGAATATGCTCTATTAGGGCTACGGCTTTATGCTATGATGTTTTCAGGTGTCGATTCCCCTTTATCCATGGTTGAGGTCCTTCAAAAACATTATCGAGGAAAGCTGGAGTACCGGGAGGTGGATCTGGTTGAACACCTCCCTCCGCCTCGTCGGATAGACCAGCTCACCCTGACCGCCGCCCCACCTGCTCCTCTGATGGGCGGTTCATCGTCTGAGGCTGACCCTCTGCGTGCTCGCCCTATCTCATCCATCATGCCATTGGGTGGTGTTCACCCTTCTTTTGCAGAGTGTAGCGAGGACAGCAAAGATGGTATCATCTCTGACATTCGGTGCATGTAGGCTAAGAGGAAAGCCATGTTGGCCATGGGTGCGCCAGTCACCGTTGCACCCAACACCGCCAAGCGGATTCAGACCAGGCATAGTTTCTCTCACCTTCTGAACTCCATTGCTTCGGCGCCTACGGGTGTTGTTGTGATCCCTGATGACGACGTTCAACAGTCTGAAGGGATCAGTGGGGCATGTAATCAGCCCGTTGTTCCTGTTCCAACGATCTATTCTGCTCCTGCTCAGACCACTTCCTCCGCTTATGTTAAGGTTTCTCCTTCAAAGGATCCTGACGGGTCGGGCCAAGCTCCTATTTGCCCAGGTGGGGCTGTTGGCGAGGAGCCCTTTAGATCCCCCGCTTTCAACCCCTCCTGGAATCTCCACAACGAGTGCCGCCTCTCTGTTCGTGCTAACGCCATCGGGTTCTCCCGGCATGCCTTTCCCCCGGCTGTCGTCACAGATATGGAAACCATGGGTAGCCCTGCTCTTTCTCATAACATGTCCTACGTTGCTGCGCAGGCAATGTTCTATCTTGTTACAGGTTCGCGGGGCATTCAGTCCCTTGGAGAGATAGAATCTGCTCATGCCAGGTGTGGCTCCCGCGTGGCTGAGTTGGAATGTCGCATCCTCGAGCTTGGTGACGACCTTCGATGCTCCGAACAGAGGTATCATCTTCTTGTTTCGGAGAAGACCGCCTTGGAGGATGCCAGATCTGCACTGGAAGCGAAAGTTGACTCTCTTACCCAAGTTAACGAGGGTTTGATAACTCAAGTTGAAAGCCTTGAACGCGATGCTGCTGATCATGACCGGGTGACCACTGCTCTGCAAGCGAGTGCCAACGCTGCGCGTCGTGACCTGGACTGGTTGGTGCGAGTAGGTCTCGTGCGAATTGTTGATAAGCTGATCGAACACTCGGACTTCACGAATGCCGTGAGCCTCATTCGGCATTATGCGTTTGTTACTGGGGCTGAATCTGTTCATAATGCTTCGGCAGGTGTTGGTTCTGGAGATACTGTCATTTGTGCCCCTTCTTCTGGTCCTGTTGTGAGTGTGAATGAGGCTTTCCTGTCATTTGCTAGTATAGATCATGCATCGCTCTTGGGATTGGGAGCTTTACACATCCAAGGCATTCGCGAGCTGTGTGCCTTTTCTGGTTCGGAGGGTACACCCAAGGGTATGGTGGGCCATGAGGAGGAAGTTGTGCAAGTAGGCGAAGGTGGTGTTGGTGTGGGCGGGAATGGTATTAAAGGTGTTGGTAATACTAATGCGAGTGGTGAGGGCCCAAGTGTTGATGCGATTGTTGTGGTGGGCGAGAGTGGCGGTGGGAATGTTGATGGTGATGACAAAGATGCTCTTGCATCGTGTGCTACCCCTCATGGGGCGTAAAGATTTTCTTTCTTTTCCTTAATGTTTTTGTATTTGTTATTCTGCTGCGTCTTTGGACGCGTTTTGGTTGTTTTGTTGGCAATGTAACACCTAGACTTTGTGAATTTTAATGTTAATCTTTTGGTTGCGTGTATTGTGACGAGTAATACACTGAGTACTAGAGCTGAATGCACTAAGCATTTGGTTTATATTTGATACACATGGCATTTTGATGCACTTAAGCATTTCATTTTGTTCATATCGATGTTAATACACTAAGTATTAAAACTGGATGCACTAAGCATCCGGTTGCATCGTTAGATTCAACGCATTGAGCATCTTGATGCACTAAGCCTTTGAATGTGTTAATATGAAACTCAATACGCTAAGTATTAGAATTCGGTACGCCAATTATTCAATTATATTAATTGCGGACCCTAATACACTAAGTATTAGGGTTTTAATGTTAAGCATAAAGTCCGGTACTCTGAGCACTAGGACGTGGTACACTAACTACAACATTCAACAGCCGGATGGCTAAGCCTACTTGTTACAATTAGCTGTAATCCTTCTAAGAGAAAAACTTCTTTAGGTTTCTTGCATTCCATGTTCTTGGTATTTGCCTTCCTTCCATTGTTTCCAGGGTGTACGCCCCATTTTGGTTTGCCCCCATGACTTTGTACGGGCCTTCCCATACTAGGCCTAGCTTGCCTTGAGGTTGAGCTCGGTTTGCCTCATTTCTTCTTAACACATACTCTCCCACTCTAAATGCTTTCTCTTTGACCCTTTGATTGTAGTATCTCTCGGTTGTGTGTTTGTAAGCAGCCTGGTGTATTTCTGACTTTTCGCGTCTCTCTTCTAGGATATCTAGACTCAACCTTAAGTCTTGAGAATTGGTCTCCTCATTAGTATTAACCGTTCTCAACGTGCCCATCGTTATTTCCATGGGGAGCATGGCCTCCGCCCCATACGTTAAGCTGAACGGTGTTTCTCGCGTACTTGTTCGCGGGGTGGTTCTGTATGATCATAGCATCGTCGGTATCTCTTCAGCCCAATTCCCCTTAGCTTTTCCCAACCGTTTCTTAATCCCATTTACTATGGTTCGGTTGGATACTTCCGTCTTCCCATTCGCCTGTGGGTGCGCTACCGACGTGAATCGTTGGCTGATTCCTTTGCTAGTGCACCACTCTCTGAATGCGTTCTCAACGAATTGCAGACCGTTGTCGCTAACAAGTATTTTGGGTGTACCGAATCTAGTCATGATGTTTTTCCATACGAACTTTATCATGTGCCTCCCGGATATGCATGCCAATGGCTCCGCTTCGATCCACTTTGTAAAGTAATCCACCGCGACCACCATGTATTTCAGCTTTTCGGGCGCCTCCGGGAATGGTCCTACAATATCTATCCCCCACTGATAAAACGGTCATGGGCTAGATATATTGTGCAGTGGTACCGGTGGGTTTGCTTGAACCGGGGCAAACGACTGACACTCCTTACACTTTTTAGTGAGCTCCACCGCATCTTGATGCACGGTGGGCCAATAGATCCCCATCTGGAGTACCTTTGCGTGCGCGCCTTCATGTGCACCCGCCTAGCCCGCATGTGCCTGCTGCAGTGCCTCCTTTCCTTTAACATTATCCATACACCTCATCCATGGCGCTGTGAACCCTTTTCGATATATTTCCCCGTTTATCAGCACGTACGAAGGTGCCTTGACGCGTATCTTTCTAGCTTCGTCATGATCGTCCGACAGGATGCCTCGTTGTAAGTACTCGACAAGTGGGGTCATCCACATGGGTACGGTATTCGCTATAGTGCTCACCTTTCGTTCGTCTATGCCCCTTTCCTTGAGCACTTCCACTAGAACCTTCTTCGACAAGTGATCAAAACACGTGGATGCCAAGTTGCTTAGGGCATCTGCCCGCCTGTTCTCACTTCTCGGTATTTTCTTAATCGTGAACCTCTTGAAAGACTGAACAAGCTGTTTCACTATCTTTACATATCTCTCCATCCTTTGGTCCCTTGCTTCAAAGCTTTCGTTGCTCTTGTTCGCGGCCAACCTCGAATCCGTTAGAGCTGTTATGACTTCTACGCCCATCTGTTTAGCTAGGCGTAACCCTGCGAGCAGGGCTTCATACTCGGCTTCGTTATTTAAGGTATGGAAATCAAAGCGAAGGGCGTAGGTGACCTCCTCTCCCTCTAGGTTGGTCAGGATTAGGCCCGCTCTCGAGCCCTCTCTGCTGGACGCTCCATCGGTGTATAACGTCCAACCCCGACTACTATCCGGAACTTCCTTGACCGCCCAGATTCCTTCTTTAGCCAAGCCTCCTTCGCCTGGGATTTCGAGCAGGAAATCTGCCAATGCCTGCCCCTTAATGCTTGTCCTCGGGCGATAGCTTATGTTGTGCTCTCCTAATTCAATCGCCCATTTTGCTAGCCGGTCCGATGTTTCTGGTTTGAGCAATATCTGCTTGATGGGACAATTCGTTAGGACTTCAATTTGGTGCGCTTGAAAGTAACGACTCAAGCGTCGTGCGACATAGATAAGTGCCAACACCAGCTTCTCCAAAGTAAGGTAGTTGAGTTCGGGGCCTTGTAGCGCTCGGCTGACGAAGTACACCGGCTTCTGCTCTCCCTCCCTTTCTACGACCAACACGGAGGATATTGCCTCGTTTGAGGTCGAGAGGTACATTTGAAGCGTTTCTCCTGGGATTGGGCTAGCCAACGTGGGAAACCTGTGTAGTGCCTCCTTGATCTTTTGGAGTGCGGACTCTGCCGCCGCCGTCCAGTGGAAATTGCTTTTCTCAATACAGCCCTTTAGCGTATGAAAGAGTGGCATGGCTTTGTCGGCAGACTTCGAGATGAACCTACTGAGGGTTGTGAGTTTTCCATTTAAACCTTGTGCATCCTTGAGGGTGCTTGGGGGTGGCGTTTCCATGAACTCATCTATCTTGGCTGGGCTGAGCTGGATACCTTGTTTGGTGACATAGTACCCTAAGAATTGCCCCTCCTCTACTCCGAACGTACATTTGGCCGGGTTCAATTTCATCTTAACCTTCTCTAGCATGCGGAAAGTTTCTTCGACATCTCGCAACATTCTACCCTCGTCTGGGCTCTTAATAACCATATCATCGACATATACTTCGATGTTTCTTCCGATCTGATTGGATAATATCGAGTTGACCAGCCGCTGGTATGTGGCTCCCACATTCTTTAACCCAAACGACATTTTGGTGTAACAAAAGGTACCATGATCTGTATAGAAAGCTGTCTTTTCTTCATCCTCCCTGCTCATCAGAATATGGTGGTACCCTTTATATGCATCTAAGAAACATTTCAGCTTGAACCCCTGTAGGAACTCCACCTTTTGGTCAATTTCCAGAAGAGGGTAACAATCTTTAGGACATGCCTTGTTTAGTTCGGAAATATCGATGCACATACGCCATGACCCGTCATGTTTTCGTACCATGACGGGGTTAGCAATCCAGGTCGGGAAAACTGCTTCTCTCATGATTCCGGCCTCCACTAGTTTGGCTACTTCCGTATTGATTGCCCTGTTACGGTCCCCTCCTTGGACCCTCTTCTTCTGCTTGACTTCCTTCGCACCGGGCCTAGTCATGAGTTTATGCTCGATGAATTTCCTGTCTACACCCACCATGTCCGTAGGGGCCCATGCGAACACATGCTTATACCATTTAAGCAAGTCAACCTACGCTTGCCTTGTATTGTATGGGAGACCGCAACCAATACTGTTTGGTGGATGGGGTATTCCTCGTTGATTACATCCTTTCCTTTCGTATGGTCAGCTCGCGCTTTCTTGGTCTCCCTTGCTGTAACGACCCAAATTTTCAAACAAAGTTTTCATTTTCAATTAATAAAACACATTTGCACAAACCATGAAATCCCAACATAATTGTTTTCAAATCCGTATTCATTACAACTTTGTTTAAATCATCACAGTGTCCCAAAACATGTCAGTAAAAGAGAGATAGAGTGCATGCCATGCCATCATGCCTTGCCCTTGCCCTTGGGCTCAGAAGTACCTGAAACAAATCAACAACCTGTAAGCGAAAAGCTTAGTGAGTTCCCCAGAGCATACCCCACACAATACACAAACACATATCCTGTTAGCTAATTAAAGCTACACACAAAACACATAAGCCATGCATACAAAAAACCTGCAAGAATGCCATGGGCTACCCCACATGGTCTTTACCTAGAACTGCCACGGGCTACCCCTCATGGTCTTACATCCATTACCATGAGCTACCCTGTAACATCCCAAGTTTCAGAAGTACGATTTCGGGGTTCTATGTGTAAATAGAAGAGTCTACTCGGCGAGTAGGTGTTCGACTTGTCGAGTTGGAACAGGATTTTAGCCACGTGTTAAGTAACCAACTCGACGAGTCGGCGGCTGGACTCGACGAGTTGGTGCTGGGAAGAGAAAACCCTAATTTTTAGGGTTTGCACCCTATTTAAAGGACCTTAAGTCCTAACCCTAGCCTCTTTACTAACCCCTTGAGAACCTGGAAACCCTAATCTCATGTGTGAGCCATTTGTGAGAGTTTTTGAGCTTTGCGAGGTGATTCTAGAGAAGGAGGCTTGTAGATCAAGAGGCTAGCAGTAAGGAATTCATGTAGATCCAGAGTCTACTTCAGCTTGGGCACATTTTGGAGGTAACAAGTTGTTACCTTGATCCCTTTCCTTCTAGATCTATTCATGGATGAGATTTGGGGCCATTTTAGCATGTTTAGAGTTCATTTCGGGTTTTGTGTCTAGATCTGAGGTTGCAACTTCAGATCTAGACTTGCCTTGGTCCATGAAGTGGTAAAGTATCAGCCATTAGCATGTTTGTGAGCATTTCTTGTCTTGAACCTCTTCCCTAGCTTGTTTTGAGCCAATATCACCTTGCATGCACGTAAAGTTAGTAACTTTACGTGTAAGGTTAGCCTTGGGAGTCCAGATCTATAAGTTGGACGCAATGGAATGGACTATAATCGACAGAATCGGGATGACACAAGTGGACTCAGCGAGTCAGTTCATGGACTCGGTGAGTCGGGTCGCAAAACCCTAGCCTCTATTGAGTCGGACCACTGAGTGGGTGGTGACTCAGTGGGTTAGACCAGACTAGGACTCGTAGCTTGGAGGACTCGACGAGTCATGGGGTGACTCGGCGAGTCGAGTCGCAATATGTGGGTTTTCTGAGTTTAAGAACTCGGCGAGTCAAGAGGCTGACTCGGCGAGTAGGGTCAACCTGGAAGGTTGACTTTGACCAGGACGTTGACTTTGACCAAGAGTTGACCAGTTGAATTCCAAGGGTATTCTGGTAAATTGATCATTTATAGATTTGGTTCCATCATAGTGCTAGGTGGTGCAGTTTGTGGTTGTGATCGGAGGATTTGATCTTATCTCTTCAGTTCGGCATTTGCAAGGTGAGTTATCCTCATTATACTCAAGGGTATAAGGCACCAAGGCCGACCCTTTGATTTGTTATTTGAGATAGTTATTATTGTGATATGTTAGCTTGGTATCCTGGTAGATAGGATGGTTATATGCTAGTATGATCGATTAGATCAGTAGCCTGGTGGAACGGGTGTGGTTATGCTTAGTGACCTATAGGTGGTCTGACTGTCTGTATGTCGGTAGGACATTACCTGTTATATGTGGACATGATTGAGCAGTAGTGGAGGGTATCCCATCCCGAGGATGATAGGGCCCTAGTATGTTGTCTTGTAGACTGTTATATGATTATCTGATATAGGTGCACATGTTTGACTCATAGTATGTGGGAAATCCAACCCGATGGTTGTGGGCCGAGAGTATTCCATCCCGAGGATGATTGGACTCATAGTATGTGGGCAATCCAACCCGATGGTTATGGGCCGAGATTATTCCATCCCCGAGGATGATTGGACTCATAGTAGGTTGGCATTCCAACCCGATGGTTGAGGGCCTAGGGCATTCCATCCCGATGGATGATTGGACCCATAGTAGTTGTTGTATGTGTAGGTGTGTGGGCATTCCAACCCGATGGTTGTGGGCCGAGAGTATTCCATCCCGAGGATGATTGGACTCGTAGCATGTTGGCATTCCAACCCGATGGTTGAGGTCCAGGGGTATTCCAACCCGATGGTTGACTGGACCCATAGTATGATGTTCGTTGTTGTATGTGTGTGGTTGTGTGTATGGGTATTTTAGGGGTAACGCACTAAACTTTCGGGCTTACAGTTTCAGTTTGTTGTTTCAGGTACTTCAGGAGATCCTGACAAGGCGAAGGCGTGATCGTACCGCTCCTCGTTTTTATGACTTTGTTTTTGGGATACTCTGATAATAAACTATTTTGGAAACCTTCTTGTAATAACTAATGGAACTTGGGTTGTTTTTGAAAGTTTAAATTGGTTTGAAATTTGAGGGTGTTACAAGTTGGTATCAGAGCCTTGGTTTGAGTGAATTGGAGGAAAATTCGTGTGAATCCAGTCTCATATCAAGGAGAAGTTTTCAAAATTATTTCTAAAATGGTTTTGAAAATAAGTAAAGGAGGATGCAGGGTGTACGATCAGCCGGAGCCAGTAAGTAGACCCCAAAATACCATACAGTTATTTGATTATGTGATATGATAGAACAGCATGCTAGTACTAGGCTAGGGATCTTCAGGAATTGCATGATAGAATTGCGTAATTATATGATGCCTGCTAGCCTAGGGTTCTCTTTATATGAAATTGACATCATTACTGTAGTTATTTAGTGTATGCATCACGGTTATACATAACTAAGATCTTATAGCCTTTGAATGTTTGATTTGGCCTTATGTTCTGTTCTTGTCTGATTAGGAGCTTAGGGTAGGATTGGATATTTGAAAGTATATAGGGTCCAGCGTTATGTATGACTAGCATACACTAGCGATGCAGGGTTGGTGGAAGTTTCATGGATGAGTGGGTTGTGTGGGACCGGTAGGTCGGTTATGAGATATTTAGCATTCCTCTAGGAGTGAGGATTGAGCGCTCACTATGTCTATGTATGTTGTTCGGGTGTTGTGATGATACTTGAGACAAATATAGGTAGGTGTGGAAGGTAGTATGGGCCCGTACTACTGAAAACACAGGACCCATACGCGTATCAAGGGAGTCACAACCCCTAGGGTTTTGGGTTGGGAGTTAGTTCTCGGGCTATTATGAGGAATATCTAATGTCCTTCTTGGTGTATTTCAGTATGGTGGTTACGAGACGCTTCGGGGCGGGATCCGGATCAGGATCAGGATCAGGAGAGGGTGGTCATGATGGATCAGCACCACCCGAGGTCATTGGTCAGATGAGGACGGATGAGTTGGATGCCAGGATTCGTGAAATCCCGCACGATGAGGTTGCTGCTATGTTCCGGGCTCAGTTACCGGAAATGTTTGGGTCTATCAAGACTGCTATGGTGGAGTACTTCGATGACCGTTATGCAGCTCTTACTGAGACAGCTATTGCGGCAGCTACATCGGCTGTAGCAGCGGCAGGGGGGAGGAGCCAGTCGGGGCTTCCAGTATCGGGACTTCAATAATACGAAGCCCCCTACTGTCAACGGGGTTCAGGATCCGATTGTTGCTATGAGATGGTTGTCGGACGTGGAGGGATGTTTCTTCACGTGTTCATGCCCTGCTGATCAGAGGGTGAGGTGTGCTCTGAACCTGTTGAGGCTCGGGGCAAAGGATTGGTGGAGGTTGACTACGGGATCATACTCTGATGTGAAGCGAGCTGCAGTTACTTGGGATCAGTTTCGTGACATGTTCAGCACTCGTTATGTTATGCAGGTTGAGCGGGAGAGACTAGCTTAGGAGTTTTTGGAGCTGAGACGGGATTCAGAGTCGGTGATGGAGATCACCAGGATGTTTACGAAGAGGGCGATGTTTTGCCCTGAGTTTGCTTCGGAGCAGGCTCAGACGACCTTGTATCTGAGTATGCTCAAGACGGACATTAGACTATTTTTGAAACCTTTTTGTAATAAATAATGGAACTTGGGTTGTTTTTGAAAGTTTAAATTGGTTTGAAATTTGAGGGTGTTACATACCCCACATGGTCTTTACCTGGGAATGCCATGGGCTACCCCACATGGTCTTACATCCAATGTCACGGGCTCCCCCCGGGGTCTTCCATACAAACACGCAAACACATATCATATCAAGTCACAGAATGACTAACACATATATCATAATAAAATAATAGGCCGGCCTTGGTGCCTTAGACCCATAGGTATTGTGAGAAGACTCACCTCTGTCCGCTGATTACTGCAGATGCTCTCCTAACAGTCTGCAACCTTCCGTGCTGAATAACGATATTAGATAATGTTAGGACCTTAATTAACCAAGGGAACCCAAACTCCCAACCCTTACCTAAGGCCCAATTGTCCATCCCTTGCTAATGGGCCCATAATCTTAGTCCAAAATCTCTAATGGGCCTCATGGCCCAATAAATCCCAACATGTCTGTCCATGGCCCATAACAATGAAATAGCAATAACTCACAGAATGTAACCAGTCCAATAACCAAAACAAGGCCCAAATCAGTGTCGGCCCAACAGAAACACGTACGCTTAGCGTACTATCCTTGTACACGCAGCGTACTGGGGTCGTAGGACAACGCTTAGAGTACACTAGGTTACGCCCAGCGTACTACCAGCT